GGCTGTGGAAGTGCTCAGCCCACGGGGGTGTGGTGGACGGGGAGCCTGGCTGACCCGAGACCCCCAGCATCTCAGGCGTCCTTCCCAGGTCAGAACAGGCAAGACCTGGAACACGAGGCAGGGCCAGGGGGGACCCGGCTTCCTATGTGCGTTCCGCCCCCCCCCCCCCCATTTTTCTTTGTAAGGGCCTCCATCATTTTCTTTGTAAGCCGTGGTTTGTCCAGCCTGCGCTCTGCGCCAGGCCCTGCGCTAAGCTCTCTACATCCCCCCTCACCAGGTCAGCACAGACCCTTAAGGGGCGTCTCCCTTTCTTTTTTTTTTTTTATTGCTTAAAGTATTACATAGGGTATTATATAACGTTCTCCCTTTCAACAAAGCGGAAACAGTTCCAGAGAGAGGCTGAGTGAGACACTGTAACACCTTCACGTGGCCCTGGTGCACGGAGAGGGATTTCATCTCTGTGGTGCTGCTGCCCAGGGTCCACCCTTCTGGTCCATCTGGCTCCAAAGCCAGTGCTGGTCCCGAGAGCCCAGGGGCCTTGGAGCTCAGCCTTCCTGTCCGAGGGCCGGCGTTCTGGCCTCAAGAACCAGGATGAACCCGGGCCCTCTGGAAGTCAGCCAAAAGCACCTCCTCTCAGGCCACCTGGCCTCGCGGGCAGGGCCTGAACCCACTGCCCAGCAGCACAATCCCAGCCACTCCTTCCTGTTGCAAACCCGGGAGCTGCAGCCCAGGGACAGGTCCCTGCCAGGGTACATGGCAGCTCGGGCCGCCGAGAGCTGGAGCCGGGCTCCCTCCTCGCCGCCTCGCAGTTACTCCGGGAGGAGAGGCCTGAAACTGACCAGTGAGGCTCGCGCATCCCTGGTGGCCAGAGGTTTGAGTCCCTTCACCAGGCGAGGGCAGGGCTTTCCTCCAGGTGCTCCGTCTGGCTGTGGTGAGGCTCTCCATGGGCCGTCAGACGGGTCCCAGGCAGCCACACCGGCATGGAGTCAGTGCCCGCTCTGAGGCAGCCAGGCTGGCCCCGGCTCACCGTCCTGTGAGGTGTGGGCGCGTGTGCCAGGCCCCCGTGGGGTCTGTCCAGGGTGGGAGGCAGGACTCCTGTCCCCCTCGCCCACCAGTCTGCTCGGTCCAAGGAGCCTCCTGTTGCCACCAGTCAACCTGAGGGGCCGTAACCAGTGTTTCTAAGCCCGAGGCGCCTGTCGGAATCTGGGAGCCAGCGGCTGGTGGCTGCCTGCTCTGCCGTCCCGAGGGCGTGTCCAGTTGGACCAGGCCGCCAGCCGCCTGGCCCTGCCCCGTCCTCCGCCTCCCTCAGCGTGACCCTTTCTCACCAGATGGGAGGCGGCAGTGAGAAGAGCCTCGGGGACTGGATGGTGAGACAAGGCATGGTGAGGCCCCCCGAGAGCTGGGGCTGTCCCTCGGGGCTCCCCCGGTGCTGCTGCCAGAGGGAGCAGGAGCCTCAGACCCAGGGGAGAGAGGGGCCTGCCGGCCCAGCCCAGCCCAGCACTCGGTGGCCCTGCACCCCCACTCCTGCTTTCTCAGCCTCTGGGGGCTCACTTCTGGCCGCCCAGGCATCCCCTCCAGCAGCTGAGAGCTCGTGGGAGAGGGCCCTGCTGCTGCTGGTGCCGCTGGTGCTGCTGGTGCTGCTGGGAAGGCCCTCCTGCCTCTGCTCGGGGCTTCCTGCTCCCCACGTGCCTCAGGCTGGGGAAGAGCTGGGGTGGAACTGGCCTGGTTGGAGAGAGACTCTCCCTCCTCCCCAGGAGCTAACTGGTGGCTGGCATCTTGAGCTTCCACTCTGTGCCGGCACGGGGCTAGGCTCCTCCCACCACCGGCTCACTCAGTCCTCACAGCGCTGGGCGGTGGGCGCTGTGTTACTCTGAGGATGAGCCAGTGAGGCTGCCTCCAAGAAGGAGACCCGCCCAGCAGCCCCTGTCCGCACAGAGCTTTGTGGCCCGGAGTGAAAAGTCCCTGTGCGCAGCCCCAGCCCCCCTGGACCCCCAGCCTGGCCTTTTCAGGTCATCTCGGCTCCTCCCTCCACATGGGCCCCTCCACCAGGAACTCGGTCTGTGAACGTGCAGGGAGATAAGCTGGCAGCCCCTTCCCAACCCGCTGGCTGAGCCCTCCCTGGGCTCCCTGCCTTCCGCCAGCTGCCCCCAGCCTGTGTGCAGCCCTGGGCCTTGCAGAAGCGCCCCCCCCCGCCCCCCGCAGCCTGGAGCCTCGCCCACACCCTCGGGGTGGGAGCTGGAGGTGCATTTCTCCTCCTGGCCTGGCCCCTGCTTAGCCCACTGCCCAGCATCCCCTTGCCCACAGCCTGGCACTGTGGGCAGAATTGTGGGTCCCAGGCAGCTGGGCAGGAGCCATCTTGGGGGAGATGCCAGGATCTTGACTCCCAGAAGGGGGCAGGCAGGTCTGACACCCCATTTCTAAGTGAGGAGGCTCAGGGAGGGTGACTGCCCCCAGCTGCCCGGCCCGCCCGGCTCACCGTCCTCCTCCCTTCCAGATCCCCGTCACCCAGGCCTGCCTCATGGAGGACATCGAGCAGTGGCTGTCCACTGATGTGGTGAGTCGGGGCCGCCCAGCCCACAAGCAAAGGCTCAGGCCGCTCCTCACCCACCTGACAGGGCTCCCAGGTTTCTCATGAGGAAGAGGCTGGTCCTAGGGATGACGGGGGGTGGCGGGGGGAGCATTGCTGTGGGACCCTCAGCAGCAGGCCGTGTCCCACCTTTAGAGGAGGGCCTGGCACTGCACCCTCCCCCAGCATGCTGCCCAGTGAGGTCCCCGTGGGTGCCGGCTGAGGGCAGTCAAGGAGCCATGACAGCGCTAGGCTCTGCACCTGCCACACGCAGGGAGACGGGGCCACTCAGCCCATTTCACAGATCAGGAGGCTGATAGCAGCTGAGAGACAGCATGGGCCCCGCCAGCCCCGAGGTCCCCACCCACCCAGCTAACCTCTGCTCCCGCTTTCTCAGGGGAACGACACGGAGGAGTCCAAGGGCGTCACCAGCGAAGGTAGGAGGCCCTGGCCCTGCGCGCCCACCCACCTCCCCGGCCCGGCCTCGGGGCCCACCCCCATTCTCTCTCTGTTTCTCTAGAATTTGACAAGTTCCTGGAAGAACGGGCCCAAAGTGGCTGATCGGTTGCCCAGCCTCTCCAGCCCCTCAGCTGAAGGGCCCCCCCGGGCCCCGCCCCGGCGCCGCCCCTCGGAAGCAGACCCAGGAGAAGGACGACGACATGCTGTTTGCCTTGTGAGCAGGCTGGCACCCTGCGCCCGGCCGCTGCTCCCACCCCTGGCTGGGCCTCTCCCTCCCTCGGTGTCAAGGCTGCTTGGGGTGGCGTGTTACCCCTTCTCTCCTCGAGGCTGGGCCAGGTTTGGGGAGTGGGAAGGCAGCCGGTGAACTGGGCGAGCAGGTCAGTTCCTCGTTGGGATCCTGGCCACTCCTGCCGCCCCCACCCCAGCCGACCACTCTGATTTTGCTGAGACCTGGAAGCCTGGACAGGCAGGCTGGCTGCTTGGTTGCCCCGGTGACCCTCCTGCCCTGGGTGACCCATCCCAGAGGAGCCCTCCAGAGCCCACACTGCCAGCCGAGGCCTGACTGGAAGCTAGAAACAGAAGCTTCTGTTGCAACCTCTGGTCCCTTCCCCGGCCCTGCCACGTGGAGCCGAGGCTCTGGCCCGCTGTTGAGGGCGGGGTATGTGACCCAGCTGCTCGCCGTCCAGGTACGAAGCTGCACTTCGTGGGGCAGAGCGCCCGGCCCTGGCTGCAGGGGAGGGTTCAGGGCGTGCAGCCCCACCATCTCCTCCACTGCCTTTCCCCTTCCTCTTCCTCTTCCTGCCCGCCGGGGCGTGGGTCCCCCCACCTGTTGGTTGATCCTCTTGTACTGGGAGAGGGTACCTTTATGTCCCCAATTAAAGGTAGAAAACCACCTGCGACAGCGTTCAGGCGCCAAGTGGGAAGTGACTTCTTGGTCTCTCCAGGGAGGGGGACAGCTTTGGCGCTGGGAGCTGGGCCATCCAGGGAGGGCATCTCAGATGGTCAGCGGAGCAGCAGGACTGGCAGCCAGCAGCCCCTTCGCGCCTTCACAGGGTCAGGACGCTTTGCCCTGCCGGGAGGCCCATTGCTGTCCCTCTGAGTGACGTTCCTACATGCTCAGGGCACCTTCACGCTGCTCCCACTCCTGTCGGGGGGCGGGGGGGGGGGGGGGGGAAGAAAGGGTTGGCGGGGCCAGTTTACAAGGCAGGGAGGCACCAGTGTAAGGGGGGGGGTGGCTTCCTTGCAGAGAAGAGATCGCCCATCCTGTCAGGGCACTGGACTAGGCCTATACGCAGGCTCATGGGGCCCGTCATAGCAGCCCCTGGGCAGAGCAGTTACCACTTCGTCACAGACGCTGAGGGCTCCGACTCCGTCCACGAGCCATGGCTGTGACTGGGCCCCTTTCTGCGCCTGGTGCCCCACATGGACACCAGCACCCATCTTTACCTGCTTAGATCATGCAGAGGAGGGCAGGTGCTGGGGACTTTGGGCCCTGATCTGAGTGTCCCCGGCTGTATCTTGCCGGCCCGGCTGCCTCTCCAGCCGGCGTGACAGCAGGTCACACCCAGAGGCCCTTCCTGGGCCGCCGCTGGCTGGCTGCCACCACACCACACTGGCCCAGTGTCTGAAGCCGCAGCTGGATTCTGTGCTCAGTCCACGTGGTGGAGCAAGGCCCTGGCGCACCTGGGCTCTGTGACCCTCGCTTGCGTAACATGCACCTTTGCCACTGTGCCTGCATGGTTGCCGCCTGGGGGCAGTGACTGTGGGGCGTGCATGCACTCGCCCACATGCGGTGCGGCCAGCAGTCCTGGTCAGCTCCAACTCCCACAGACCTTCCCACGGCCGGGCCTGGGAGCCCCGGAGACCGGGCCGTCTCACAGGACAGAGGGATGGGCTCCGTGAGCTCCCTCCCCTGCCCCTGCAGCCCCAGCTCTCGCGTCCCCCTCCCTCCCCACCACGCCCAGCTGAGCTGCTGTGTGCAGTGCCCGGCCAGGCCTTTTCACCTCCCAACAGCTCTGGGGAGAACAGTTTTGACCACCGCTTACCAGTGGGGAAACGGGCTTGGGGGAACAAGGACTGGCTAGTCACATACTCAGTAATGGGAGAGTGGGACCCGGTCCTTTACACGCCGTCTGCTGGGAGCCCCAGGGAACCAGCCGTGACTTGGGGGCCGGTGGCCCTGTTCATGCTGAAGTTCCGAGTGGTTTGTTCTCTCGTGCGGATGGTATCTGCCGAGTGCCAGCTGCACACAGGGCATGGGCCTCGGTGCTGAGGATACAGGTGAATGGCCACCTGACAGCCCTGTTGGGCCACATGGGAGGGGAGGGGACAATAATGACAGACGTAAATTCAGTAAGTGCCACCTGCTCTGAAATGAAGGGAGGGGAAACTGAGGCAGAGTGATGGGAGGGGCCAAGGCTGGAGACGCAGGGAGGGCCCAGCGCAGAGCCCCACAGGAAGGGGACCAGGGAGACCACCCACTTCCCCTGGAAGGGGCATCCCCTCCCTCAGGCCCCTCCAGAGAGGCTGCTGGGCTGAAGGCAGCTGAGGAGCCTGCAGGAGCCATCGTGCTGGCCAGGCTGGGTTTCCTGACGCAGGCGGTTTGGACCAATCACTCAGCCACAGGAAGTCTCTGGCCCCCACAAAAGTGGGCCAGCTGCTGGCGGGGGCCTTGGCCATGTGCCCACAGAACAGGATTAATGAGGCACCAGCAGCTCCTTCTGGGCCCAGCTGCCTCAGAGGCAGCACATGTCGGGGGCGGGGGGGTTGAGGGGAGGCCAGCTGGTGGGAGGGCGGGAGAAGGGGCGCCTTGGAGGCAGCCCCTGGGGCCTGCGAGGGGGTGCTCGCCAGAGCTGCTTGGAAGCCCTTGGCAGAGGCTCCGTGCCCTCCTGGCTCCCTGAGCCCCCAGGACCCACACGGCCTGGGCACTGCCCCCCGATGTCAGCATCCAACCTCTCCAGTTGTCACACAAAGCCTGGCGTGGCCGCTGCTCATCATGAAATGTGCTCAGCAGTCACCCCTCACAGGGTGGTAGTGAGGGTCAGCTGGAAGGACAAGGACAGCACCTGCAAGAAGATGCTCCACACGTCCTCACAATGGTACCCTCCAGCCAGGCACCCGCCAGAGCACTGCCCCTGGCTCCGGTGGTCTGGGGGACTCTAGCTCTCCAGGGTGCTCGCTGCCTCCAGGACAGCCTCCACTCCCACGACAGCCTTGGGCCTGGGCTGCTGCCCCTTAGGGGGGCCCCAGGAGCGAGGAGGATCCCCCAGGTGTCCTGGACCAGGCTTTTGAGGTGGCAGGAGCTCAGGTGAGTGCTCCAAGTGACCACAAGATGGCAGCAGAGCTACACATAGATCCTGCAGCTATGGGGAGGGAGGGTGTCTGCCAACCAGCTCCTGCACTGCCCCTCTCTGCCCTCGGTGCCACCACACAGGGGTCTTTGTCCCAAAACCCAAGCCCCACACAAACTGCCCTCTGCCTCCAAACCCCACACACTTCCCTGGTGGGGCTGGGAGCTCGAGCGGAAAGGATCTGCAGCAAGCATGTCAAACTCAAAGGCTAACTCGGGCCAAACAAGGTATACGTTTATGTGGGCTGCAAAAAACCAAAAGCTTCAATTTTCATAGAAACATAGGTTTATTTCCATAGAGACATGCTGGATACAAAGGGCTGAAGTAAATGAGTCATCATTAACAAAAAATAATAGAACATTATTATAAAAAATATTTTTTCTTGGACATTAACTTACCGGACACTGAATAACTGCACAAATTAATAAGCATAATGCAAATAAACCTATTTTTCTTGTTCTCCAAAAACGAAATTATTTCCTGTTGCGCACACCAAACAAGTCAGTACAAGACTAATGATGTGGCCATCAGCTGCTAAAATATTCGCTGCTAGTATTAGTGGAGAGAAATGTGCGCCTGTACATAGGGGCATAAGGGAAATGAATGCAACACGATCACAGTAACCAGGCATTAGCGAACATTGTAGTCATTAATAATTATGTATAATAGGATATTGTAAAAATTAAGTTACGAAATTTTCATTAAAGTGTTTCTTACATACTGTTATATTGGCTGGGCCACAAACATTCCTGTGGGCCACATGCGCCCGTGGGCCACGAGTTTGACACGCTTGCTCTACGGGGAGACTCGACGGGATCCCCAGCCCTTGTTTACACCTGACCCACGGGGTTCTGGGGAGGGTTCGACGAGATGGGCCGGGGGCCAGCAAATGGGAGCTCTGGGTGGGCACTACCCAGCCCTGTCCCCTGTGAGCCCCCTGAGCTGTGGGCACCTTCACACACACACACACAGAGAGGCCGCCTCCGTGTACACAGCATTCGGGTGTGTATTTCCCGTTCTACCTACATTGGTAGAAAAGCAGAGTTCACACCAATAACTCCATCGGTGCAACACCACGATTCCTCCAGCACTGCCCTTCCCTGTGTGTGACTTCCTTCTCCAACAGGGAGAACCCGGTCCCGTTATCCTGGCTGACCTGCTCAATCCTGCCAGTAGCCAGTCTGCCCTGCCACCGCCCAGCCTGCCTACGCTCTCCTCACCTCGCATGGGTCCCCACTCGCCCGGGTGCACCCCAGAGCCCCTGCCCAGACCCTCCTCACCCAGTGCAGCCTCCTACCCCCACCCCAGCAGCACCTGGTCCCGCCTAATGGCTTTAGATAGATGCCTCAGGACAGGAGTGGAAGAGGAAGGAAGAGGAGGTTTCGTTTTACGGGTGATCAGAGTAAGCCCTGAAGTGATGTCTGAGTCCCATTGTCCCACAAACCACCCAAACGTGTGCAGTTCCAGTCTTTACCCCTGCAAACTACCCCTCCCACCCTCTGTACCAAAAGCCCTTGCTCAGTGCATCAGTTACCTGGTGTGGCACAAGGGGGCGCCACAGACGGGCTTAAACAGCAGAAATGTACTC